TGTTGGTGGGATGTTTTGACTCGGGTTTGCTAATAAAATTGAAAGCCATGACGGCGTGGTCACTTGTACAATGAGGGGTTGTCAATTAGGAATTCTTCGTTTGTAAAGATGTGGTCCAAGCGTGACTGCGTCTGACTATGTCTCCGCTGAGTTTTTAACTGCACACTTTGGAATAATCGCAGTTCTTCAACATGGCTGAAGAACCGAGCTTCAGTAGGTCTGTAACCTATGATATACATGATTTTAGCTAAGTCGACTTTAGGAAGATTCAACTCTTATAGAATGAGGTAATAAGTATATCTGAGACGATTAAAAAGATCACCAGTGCGCTTCCTGTAATGGACAACGTTACCACTGAACTATCTTGGCCGCGACTAACCTCCTGCAGGACTGAGATGTATTTACAATTGATCAATCAAGTGTAGATAATAAAGTTATTTGGTTTCTACAACCTGTATGTCGCTAAAGATTAAAGTGTTACTGTAATAAACTAAGACTATTAAGAATAAAATGGAAGAAACTAATTAAAAATGGATGCTTATTATTTCATTAAAACTGAATATTCAAGTATTAAAGTGAATCATTTAAATTAATACAGAATATAATTCACTGTGAAAAACTAGAGGAAAATCAAAAGGTACTGTTTTGTAAGAGAAACGTTTCCAAATACAAATGTATATGAAACGGAAATAATAATAATAACAATAATAATAATGAGTTGTAACCAGGGTTACAACAAAGATTCAATATGTATATATGTATATGTATACAAAGATCAGATTTCATTTTATTTATTAAATAACATTTATATTATCTCAAACAGTTAGAACTCAATAGATCTTAGCAAACATAAAGAACCATGTTCATAATCTTCAAAACAATATGTAATTTCAATAGTTGAGATCATGAGTCAATTGAAGCTAGACCATCATGGAAAACCTGGAAGCACTGAACGGCCGTTTCGTCCTATTGTAGGACTCCTCAGCAGTGGGCATCCACGATCCCGCCTCTCGAGATTTAAACCTGGGACCTACTAGTCTCGAGCGCGATCACTTAACAAATAGACCACTGAGCCGGCATCCAACGGTGTCAATGTCTAACTTCAACTAATCCACGAAATTGCGCCACCGTCCAAGATTGGCTTCAGTGAGTTACTATCTCACAACTGACCCTCTTCTGATAATATGTAATTTATCTAAGTGATTCTGTGGTATGGGTTACTTATATCCACATAAGTAGTATATAACGGTGGTCAGGCACAGAATGTATTTCAGTAGAAGATCGAGAAGGAAAGAACGAGAACAGATAGCAATTGCTATGAAAATGTAGGAACAATGAAATTTGGGGCAATGGACTAATATTTCCAAAGAAACAGTCAAGTTTGAGACAATGGACTGATATTTTGCAATTTAACAATTTACTATATGGTTCTCAGATTTCATTGAGAATCTCTGTAATTCCGTGTTTGGACACATTTGATTGTCCCCACTCGTTTTCTTCTTCACTAGAATTCAAGTCAGTTAAACGTTCAAAGATTCAACTCACCTTACATTTTTCTTATTGTTATAGAACTGTTATAACGCTAAGATTTTCATAGAGCCACTTAATTAGATCACAAGACTATAAAGTACATTAACTAATTGTTCATTTAGGCTTATGTGCCCAATAAACATCCTGTCAATCAAACAAACTCCTGAGAAGTCTCATACTAGGATGAAACGGCCGTCCAGTGTTTTCAAGTTGTTCATGGTGGTCTAGCTTCAATTGACACATGAATTCAACTATTAAATGAACAAATGTCTGGTAACGTTGACTGGAAAGTTCACTTTCTATTGTTAATTATCCTATTAAATTATATCATATAATCTTCCGTTTTTTTTCAGATGTTTTGAAATGTTCCTCCACTAAACGAATTAAGTGAGATCTCTTCAGCCATTTCCTGTCTCCTAGAGAATTTACAGAGGAATTCTAGGGAGCTCTTAACATAAACTAAGTGATGGATGAATAACTAATTGACGTTAGTTTAGATCTAGCAAAAAATATAATAACAGTTAATGAAAGAAACGATGGCTTACAATAAGAGTGCCAAACAAAATACCACAACCAAAGTATTTATTAAATAAACAATAAGAATATATACATTAATTCTCCATAGAATAGTTATCAAAGTTATATCTTCTTCAACTAATCTTCCCCATCTAACAAGAACAAGATTGAAATGTGTCTTAATATGCATTTAATAAGTCGATTCTAATTGCAGTTAATGTTCTTGCTCTGCAAGAATTTATTACATGTTATACAAATAGAGAGGTAAAGAAGACTCTTATTTTTTGTGCGTACAGAAATCAGTTTATGATTTGTAAAACTGGATTCCAGTTCTGTTATCTAGAGATTAAGTGTTCACACACGAAACCGAACGTTCCGGATTCCATTTCTGGTTGTGTGGTCGTGGATTCCCACTGTTGAAGAGTTCCATACTAGAACGAAACCGTCACATAGTTCTTTCCAGATTTTTAATGGTTGTCTGATTTAATTCAGTTCACAATCCCAATAAAGTTCATCAATCTTCACAACCTATATACTGATAATTATAATAGTTGTCAGAAAAGTTAATAGTTATCTGAACTTAGTAGATAAGTGGGTGATGTGTTATTGTGTTCAAGTGATAGGTGATGGACATTTGTGTTAAGAGTAAATATTAGTAAAAGGATGTTAGTATATCCAGTTGACGAATCATAAATGGGACAAAACTCAAGTCTTAGGTTTCACTAACGGTCACAACTTGAATTTACTAAAAATACATACTTACTTACTTTACTTACTTACGCCTGTTACTCCTTGTATAGGAGAAAAGGCCGCTCACAAGAACTCTCCATCCAACTCTGTCCTGGGCAATCCTTTCCAACTCTTTCCAGTTCTTACTCATTTTTTTCATACCTGCTTTTATTTCCCGATGTAATGTGTTCTTTCGCCTCCCTCTTTCACGCTTCCCATCACTACTTCAAGTTAGGGTTTGTTTCGAGATGCAGTTTGATGATTTACGTAATGTATGTCCTATCCATTTCCATCGTATTTTCCTAATTTCCTCTTGAGCTAAAACCTGGTTTGTTTTCTCCCACAGAAGGATGTTGCTGATGGTATCCGGCCAACGGATGTTGAGTATCTTGAATAGACAACTATTTATAAATACTTGTACCTTCTTGATGATGGTTGTAGTAGGTCTCTAAGTTTCAGCTCCTTACAGTAGAACTGCCTTGACATTCATATTGAGGATTCTGACTTTCATATTGGTTAATAGTCGTTTTGAGTTCCATATGTTCTTCAATTGTGGGAATGCTTTCGTTGCTCTGCCAATCCTAGCCTTTACGTCTGCATCTGAACCTCCTTGTTCATCGATGATGCTTCCCAGGTATGTGAAGGATTCTACATCTTCCAGAGTTTCATCATCAAGTGTGATTGAATTGCTGTTCTCCGTTTTGAATTTGAGAACCTTGGTTTTCCCCTTGTGTATATTGAGGCCTACTGATGTAGAAACTGTCGCTACACCGTTTGTCTTGACCTGGATTTGTTGATGTGTATGGGATAGAAGGGCCAGGTGATCTGCGAAGTCGAAATAGTGTAGTTGATCCCGAGGTGTCTATTGTATTCCGTGTTTCCCATCAAATGTCGAGGTCTTCATAATCCAGTCAACCACCAAAAGAAAGAAAGAGGGTAAGCAAAAATAAGTATTAGATGAATTGAAACACTTTCGTAAACGTAACACGAAATCAAAAGGTAAATTAATTAAGATCATATTCAAAAGACTGTTTAACAAATTGTTCCTGTACAGATAACTCCGATGCTTAATTATAGATCTTTAAAGTTTCTACTAAGCAACATTGATAAACTCCTCGAAATCTTTGTTCACATCATGTAAACTATATTAAAGAAATAAATATGGACCTTCATCTACTACATACTAAGGAATGAAAATATACGATCATTCTGTTTTGCTTCTGGTTAAACTAGGACATCGTTTTGACTAGAATGAAGAAAGGAAAGTTAGCTCTCCCTCTGGTAATGCTCACACATGGTCACGTGCATACAACTACTACCAGGGAAGTCCTGCTCGCGGCGGGGCTACTGTTCACAAAATTGAAAGGACGAAAAGTCACTTTAACAGGGTTGTTGGACATGGAGAGTTCATCTAGGGGAGTTGGAAAACCCTAATTTTAAAACAATCGTGCACATGGGCCTCAGGATCATCATCATCATCCAAAGCATCATCATCAGAATTCATAGAATACCAACAATTTATCGTATTGGTTTCAATAATAATAATAATAATAATAATAATAATAATAATAATAATAATAATAGCCCAATTATTTTAACCCAATCATTGAATAGGAAGAAACAGTTATCCTATTTTCCTTGAATTTGATTGGTTTATTTATTTGTTTATTTTTTTCTTTTTCTGTTACAAAAAACGAATTGTAATGAAAATCCATTATTCCATTTTATCAGAACTTTCCTATAATACTATCAATATATATCTATATAGGGAATAATAATAATAATAAAGAGCTATATTAACCAATGACATATTACCATGGGAATAAAAACAGATTTCTCTACCTAACTACAATCTATTTATTGTGAGTTCGGTGAATAACTGATTACATAGATTTATTTATTATTCAGAATTATAATGATTGTTTAAACCAATCAAAAATTAATCTATTTTATTGATTGATTGATTGATTGGTTGATTGATTGATTGATTGATTGATTGATTGATAGGTTCTTAGAATTTATGAACTAATAATCACGTTGATTCGTTCTTTTACTTTTCTTTACTCTACTTTTCTTTTTTCTTTCTTTTTTTCCTTTTTTTAAAAAAAAAGAAACAAAAATAAAGGACATTAATATAAATTATACAATAATTAATTGAATATTTGGTTTAAACAATCCATTTCTATTCAATTATTATTATTATTATTACATATACATACATATAAATGTCACATAGACGTGAAGCTGGTGCTATTCCACCATGGGTTATTCCAGAAGAACATAAACGTGATTCAATGAAAAGTGGAATAGATCAAAATACAAAATTAAATGTTGATAATGAAGTAAAAGAAATGAGTTATTTAACTCATCAAAATGATAAATCAAATGCAACTCCTAATGGATCAATGATAAAGTCTAAAGTAAGTAGTGATTTATTTATATTTGAATATTCGTATTATTATTATTAAAATTGTTGTCAAGTGAACTGTTTATTGAAGCCTTGGCTATTCGTAAATTTAAACCACCCACCCCTTATGTGTACAAAAACAGTTTGTTGTAACCTTGAATTTACCTTGGTAATCCTTAAGTCATTCTATGGTCTAGAATAACGCGACAATTTCTTATTCTTTCTCTCCCCTGCCCTTTGTTATTTTACTTGAACTTTCATTGAATTGACCTTGACAAGTATATGTGTATGACCAGATTAGGGAGTTAAAACTTTCTTCTGAACACAAAGACTTGGCTTGTTGGCTCGGATTCCTATAGCTTCTGCTATGTGTAAGAGACGAGATCGAACACCATAAGGAAAACAAGCGGGAATCCAAGCCAACAAGCCAAGTCTTTGTGTTCAGAAGAAATTTGTAACTCCCATATCTCTCCCTTGGCCTTATTTATCGGATTCCTACTAGTTTTCCTTATGATGTTCGATCTCGTCTCTTACACATAGTAGAAGCTATAGGAATCCGAGCCAACAAGCTAAGTCTTTATGACCAGATTGTTCGAAATGTATAGCGTAAATACATCACATTTTTTTCAGATAAACTTCGTCTTCTCATTGTTCTATCGAAACTATAATAATCAATCAGGTAGTAGATAAAAGGTCTTGGATTTTGGCATGAAATTCATTCATCTATTTGGATAAATAAAGTTTTGGCATTATAGTTGATGTCAGTATTGGGATGAAAACCTTTCTATTTAATTCCTAAAATTAATCGATAACTGTAAATTATAATTTTTTTCATTTGTCACTTCGGTTTATAACCCTCACTTAGTCCTAGTTATTAGCTGAACACTCTCAAGGTCACTTTAGCGTCAATCAAAGGTTGTCCATAAATTATAGTTTCATCGAAAATAATTAGTATATCGAGATTTAGATGGTTGGAGGTAGTCAGCAGGAAACCCTGGACCCGGGTTTCGTGCTACTTGGCACTCGTCAGCAAGGTGTACCTGTAATCGCGGCTCGGATAGCTGAGTTGTAACGTCTCTGACTGTGAAGCTGGATGACATGAGATCGAATCCGCCAGGGAGCACCAGTTTCCTCAAGATTACAGGTACTCCTTGCTGACGAGTGCCAAGTAGCACGAAACCTGGGTCCAGGGTTTCCTGTTGACTACCTCCAACTATCTAAACCTCATTACATAGTGCCCGCAGTGTCGAGTCACCTAGACTGGTGGCCACATTTTAACATGATCGATAGCAATCGATCTGAACTAATAAGGACTAGACACGCATGACATTGATCACCACCCAGTGATCAATCAATTGTGATAACTAATATATCTCTTATTGATTTGGATAGTTTGTAAAGACTAGTGGTTAATATCAGTTGGGAAACTATTGTGAGCTAAAGGATATGATAGTTTACTACAAAATACTGTGTAAGATTGTTGTTAAGTAGTCACAAATGATGTTGAAGTAGATATCACATGTAACTGGAAGTATTAAATACTTGTTTGAAATACAATAATCTCTACATATTATCTATATGAATAATAATTATGTCTTCACTTTTTGTGGGGCTCTTTATTTTGTCGTCATTTAGATCGGACAATGTTGTCGACGGTCTCAACACTTTAGTAGCCCAGGATCTGACTCCAATTTGATCGTATGAATGATCGTTGTTGAAATATATATGTCGCCTATCCTCGTATGCAATCATTGACTTAAATCGCGTTAGTCAATAACGGAATTAAATAAGTCAAATAACGAGAATGGACTTGTGAATACATATATTTTGTATATGAAGCGAATGGAAGAGAGAGAGAAGGGAAACAACGCGGAGTGGAGATGGCGAGTAGGCCAACTCCCCTTCAGTCAAGGGTTAATCAATATTTATAGTCACATATTCATAATAAGATAAGAAGTGTACACACATGTATATGCTCATATAAACACAGTCAAGGTTGATAAGCAAATAATCGACAAGGTCAGAATGTGACTCAAGTAGAATGAATAGATTGGCTCGTCCAAAAGCTAGAATAAGGTATATGGTTTTAACATAATAACCGATACTACATACTAACGACTAACTTTGATTAATAAGTCGTGTATGATTTTGATGGAGTTTTGTTCTCTAAGCTGGGTGATTTGGTCGCAGAGCTTTCATCATTCTTTTGAATGACATCATCAGCACCAACTTCAAGTAGAAGTGATGATGATATTGTTCAGAAGAACAATGAAAGCTCCACGACCAAACCATTTAGCTCAAAGAATAAAACTTAATCAAAATCATCAAAACATTTACTTGAATCAAGTGATCATAATTATTTCTGATATGTTGAAAGTTGAGTTTCATTTTTATGGGTTTCAGTGCATAACATCACGCTAGTCAGCCAGTCTAATTAGATATACCAAGTGTAGTGAATGAGAACTCAGGCGGGGAAAATCAACCTATTGTTCTATATAAAATTACAGAGTTGTTTCATAACATATAAAACCCATACATCAACTACTTCATTTGCAAATCTTCCATCAGTTGTCTAAAACTTCATCGTTCTTTAATTGTTATTACAATTGCTGTCTGTTTACATTCCCCCTTCTTTTCATTTTGATCTTCTCAACCTTCTGCTACCAAGCATTCCACTTCTGATTGATGTGACAGACTACTTATATCGACAGACATAAGTAGCATACACTACATAGGTATTAATAGTACATTGGCCTTGATTTCTATACTTCATGTCAGTATAACCAGAGAATATTAACATTAGAATAAGCGAGGGAGTCAAGATGATTTTTTCAATGGTCAAAAGAACCAACTATTGAGAATACATTCTTCAAAGGGTAAGAGGAATCAGTGGCAAAAAAACATGAATAAAACAGAATTAAAACTTTAGATTTTTGTGTATATAAACGATGAAAACACATATGTTACTGAGACTAGATTTCAGTCATTATAAAAATCTATAACTATTGACTAGAATTTTGTTTACAGTAAGTAGCACGTTTATTACCTATCGATGCATATGAATCCAATAGTCAGCAACTTCAAAGACCAATGTCATGACGTAATCGACTCGTTTTAGAACCGCTTTTATCCTATGAATCTAGAGTATGGAATGGTTTCTAATGTGTAGCACATGTCATATCCAACTTAGTTAAAATAATTCTATAACTTGTAAGAATTAACATACCATTCCCACCTAGTATCTCATATTAACTTAAAGATTAATTACTCAAAGTTTTTGTTGCCAGGGCGCATTACTTTAAAGGTTTATTTTATTTATTTTATTTTGACACATAGATATTGGTACAAGGAGGCACCAAATACATATGCGCCACATAGATCTCATTTGATATGTGTGAGGGCTGTGATACTGTCCGGGTGCCCAAGGCAAAGCAGGTGGTTTCCTTAGGGGACCACACCCGGAGCCTTCGACCTGAAGGTCTGATCCACAAGCCAGTGGAGCATCGTAAGGAGATGCAGTTCCATGGTTGCCGGTGACCAATAATTGGTTCACACGCCATTTGTTCCTTCAGAATACTGGAGCCTATGTGCACCATTGGTTTGGAATCAGGGCTTTCCAACTCATCTAGGTGGACTCACCATTTCCACTTAACCGGTTATAGCACCAGACATTCGCTTTCCTTCCTCTCAATTTCGTAAACAACACCCCCGCCACGAGAAGGCAATGAGTAGGACTTCCCTGGCAGGGGCTATATATGCGTGGCCATGTGAAAGCATTTCGAGAAAGAGAGCGGACTCTTTCCACTCTCGGCCTTACCTGGGTATTTGAGGGCCCTGGCAGACACGGCGAACTGCCTCACCGGACGAGATCCGACGTGGGGCTCGAACCCACGACCCTGAGATTAAGAGTTTCATGCTCCACCGACTGAGCTAGCCGGGTATCTATGATCAAATATCAGCATATAATTACTCATGGCTTCAACCCCATCACATTACGTAATTTCAAATAGAACTGTTAAATTACGTATGCCACAAGATGATAAAAGCTAAGTGAATCATTAAAAAAAAGAAACACCAATATTTTATTAGGAACCTATTCTTTAAAGTTAATGAAATTTACAAGATGCTGAGGAGTCTTACAATAGGACGAAACTGCCGTCCAGTGCTTTCAGGTTTTCCATGGTAGTCGAGCCTCAACTGACTCATGATCTTAACCATTTAAATATAAAGAACTGTCAGATGGCAAAACTCAGTAGATCATATTAAGATCTGTAGTCTATATAAGTGTTAAACAGTTGTAAACAGTTCTAACACTTTATAATAAAAGATCATTGGGTATAGATTAAGATCAATCATAACAAATTCAACTTCTTATCGCTAATATGCTTTGTAGATTATTGATTGTAACTGAGACACTTAAGAACAATTCATGATTTTATAGGTAAAGATGTATAATGGCTAGCAGTAGAATCCAGGACGTGCGTTCCATCCTATTTAGGACTTGTCAGCTGGATGTACCAGCATCTCTACAGTTGATGTTCACTTTGAGACTCGAACCCAGTATCATTCACTCCAAACACCATCGCGTTATAAAGCTTGTGAATTAAAGTAATATACAAACAATACGTACAGTATGCACATATGCCAATAACAGAAGGGTTAATTACAGTCTTAAACTTCGAAAGAAAGATTCAAGTACACAATACTAAGTGAATTCATGATTTTATTATACCTTGTTTTGTCAACCTACACTATACATTTAACATCTATAATACTAGTTCATATAGCCTATAAGCCTTGTAGAACATCTTTATTTTCCCAAATCTGTTTTTATCAGTTAAATTTAGTTCGTACACCAGTAAAAAGGACAATGATTAGCTTGAAGGTAACAATTTGTTAATCAAACATTTGTATTGTAGTGAAAGAGAACACAGCTGAGGACAACCGAATTATATTTAGCACAACATTACAGAGTTACTTGGTAAAATAGAAAAATCATACTATAATACCTAG